GGAAGTTGTTTTCTTTTAGGGCTTGAAACACTTTGCTCCAAGCTCTCCTGACCTTTCAGGTTTGTTTTGAGAACTCTGCTGTAATTACAATGGGTTTGCTTTTATAAGTGATTTGCTGCTTTCTTTAACAACAATTAAGATTCTGTTCTTTTGTTGGACTTCTGAAATTTTGAGTCTGATGTGTTATAGAGAGGCTCTTTTCTGATCCTGGCCATTTGGAATTCTATATATCTCACTTATTTGTATGTTAAATAATTTTAAAGTTTTCTGTCATTATTTCAGTAAATCAGTTTTTTGTGCCATTTGTGCTATCTTCTGATATTCCCTAATTCCAGTATCTCAAATTAGTCTTCCTTGCATCATCTTGTAGCCATTGGATCCATTTTATATGTTTTTTTATTGTTTTTTTTAAGGAATCTCTCATTAATTGGTCACTGACACTTGACCTGTCTTCTGGTTCACACTGGTCATGTCTGCTGCCTATTCTTTTCACACAATTTTTAATCTCCTGAATTTCTGTCTGGTACCTACTTATATACTCTGAGTCTATTCTGTGCTGGGCATTTGTGTTTTGTGTTTTTATTTAACTCAACTGGCTTTTTATTTGTGTCTTCTGTAGACTCACTGATTGTTTTGTTCATTAGGTCCATTATCTGTTTAGTTATATCCCTTTATACTCATCAAGCACCTTATTGATCTACTTTAGCACCACTGTTATCCTTTTGAATAATTCAGATGTGGGCTTTTGATTCCACCTCCTTCAAGCTCCGTGGATGGATCAGCTTTGGGAAAGTTGAGAGTTTGGGGAAGTATTTTATTACCTTATCTTCTCATGTTTCTGTTTGTTTGTTTGCTTGTTTGTTCTGAAGCATGAAGGTTGATTACACTGGAAGGCTCTGTTACTAGTATGGAGACCTCTTTAGTTAATGTCTGCTTTTCAGTGATACATTCTGCCGCTGGCTAACTATACGCCTCCACCTCTGCCCCATGATCCAGCAACCTTCCTTTATTTGAGTGAGGAAGCTGCAGTTTATTCATCCCACTACCCATTGCTCCAGGAATGGGCCACTGTATTGTTAACAACACAATGGCAGCCCAGGTATTGGCATACTGAGAAAAATAATTGACAGCAACAACTATGTCACCTTAGCTATGGTAATATAACCAGCAATAGGAGGCTGGGTATTTAGTTCAGCGGCACAGTGCCTGCCCAACAAGCGAAAGGTCGTGAGTTTGATTCCCAGTACCAGAAAAATTAATAAATAAATAAAATAAAATAAAATCAGCAATAATAACAGCATCAAAGGCAAACTAGATATTGATATATTCTAAGAACCAAATATGTACCACCCTTGACCATAGAGATCTATAATCATAGCATAAACACTGAAACAAAAAAAATATTTACCTACAATAACTAACTACTAAATTGAACACTTTAAATTCAACAACAAGACAACTCTGTTCAATATTAATAGCTAGCATTGACTAAAGATTCATAAATCTCAGTGATTATACTACTAAAGATAGACAGGGTGGGGAGCTGCAGAATGAGAAAAGTAAAATTTGAAATATTTATCAATGGAAGACAAGAAAGAAGGGAGAAAGAGATTAGGGAACCTACTCAGGAATATTAGATACCAATGACAGAGGAAAATGAACAAGAAAAAGTGAAAAAAGAAAAAACAGCAAAAGAAAGGAAAAAAGGAGAAAGGAAAAAAGACAGAGAAAAACAAAACCCCAACTCTCCTCCCCACAAAAAAAAAAAAAAAATTAATGGATAAAATCAGGACAGAAAAAGAAAGGAAAACCTTTGAGTCCACTAAAAAAATTCCCCTGTGTTTTAGAGTGAGTGGTTTCTCTGCAGGAGCTGCAGTTTTGGGACACAGCAAGTCAGTTTCCTCTGTGGGCTTCACTTGAGTCTAGCACTGCAGGTCAGATCTGTATTTTCTTCCTGGAGCTGTGGGCTCTCCTGGGCTAACCTTCTCTCCAGGAGCACTGGCCTCATGTGTGAGCAGGTCAACCAGTCCTTCTGCACTTCTGCTGCCCAGTGTCAGGGGAAACACGTGCTGGGCTTGGAGTTTGCAGGGGGCAGGATCTGAGGGCACAGTGTCAGCCAGGGGTGAGCACCACATGGAGGAGGGAAGAGGCTCCTCTCTTCCCTGTTGTTTGTTTGTGGTTTCCACAAGTTTTCTTATTTTGTTATTTTGGGGGGATTTTTGATTTGTTGACTAGTCACTTGTATTTTTGTTTCTGTTTTTGCATTTTGGTTGTAGGAACACTTAACATGTATTCCTTCCCCTTAACATATTCCACAATGTCCAACTGTGCTTTCTTAGCTATAGGCCTGAAATTGTACATCAACCTCCAGAACTTACTCACCTTGCCTCACTATAACTTTATACCCAGTGAATAATTTCCTGTTTCTTCTTCATCCTAGCCTTGCCAACCACCATTCTGTTCTCTGATTCTATGGCTTTGGCTGTTTTAGATAATTCCTATGTGGGACGAGGTAAGATTTGTTTTTCTGTGAGTTGCTCATTTCAGCTCGTGTAATTCCTCTAGGTTCCCCTACTTATCACAGATGCTGGGACTTCACTCTTTCACAAGGCTGAGTAACGCTCCTGTACATGTACCTATCACATTCTCTGTATATGTTCATCTGTCCTTGGGCTTTCAGGTCGTGTCCACCACTTGGCTACTGTGCATAATCCTGCAGTGCACGTGGAGGGGACACTATCTCCCTGACCCGCCAATTTCAATTCTTTTGAATATATACCCAGAAGTGGGATTGCTGGATCATATGGTGGTTTTGTTGTTTAATCCAGACACAGATCTTTTTGCATGATTTATCATCAGCCACGTATTTTCAAGTAAACCAGGATATCTAGAATTAAAATAACAGAGCAAAAATAATCACAGATCTTTATCTGAATGGGTCCAACACTGCAGAGCAAGACATAAGGAAATACTGACACTCATTTACAGCCATCATGAACTATTCTTAAAATGTTCCTAACTGTGCCTCATCTTCCCTTCCATACTCAAGTGGAGCACATGTTCTAACATCCCTCGAGCTCTTTCTATGGCGTAAAATGTGTATGGAGTCCTGTGTATAACTTGGGGCCCTGTGGCTCAGTTTCTACCTTCCCAGTTAGGCCTTTCTTCCTGAAGACTTTAAATGTTTGCTCAGAATTTAATCAGAAGGAAGCACTAAATTGCTTCTTTGCCCTGGAAATTTGTTCACTTAGTACTCTCTTTCCATTCATCATGAATTCCCTCCATTCTTATAGATGCTGAGAGAGAAAATAATTCCTCAGTGTACTGTTTTGTTTACACAAACCTAATATTGTCTTTTTCAATTAGTATAGAATTTCATATACCTTGTTCAAGAATTCTAATTACTTAATGTTTTCCATCACCTATAATGCAATTGACACATGAAAAATATATTAATCTTCCCCTTAATGGAGCTAAGGTTATTTTCAGCCCCAGCTTTAATACTCAAAAAGAACACTACTAAAAGGATAAAATACTTTATAAGAAAATTACACATCTATTTTCAAACATCCTGTCTTCTAGAATAAACTCAATGTCCTTGAAGTTTTAGGTATATTTTATTCTACTTTGTGATCTTATATTGACTATCCTTGGCAATGCGCATGCCTAATTTTCCACCTTTCCTAATCTGCCTCTTCCAATAGGAAACCCTGTAACTGGAATTACATGTATGGCACAGTGTTTTTAGCTGGCTGAGTTTGGAATCGTCCTGTTTGTCAGACAAAGTCACCTCTCCCTCCCACAAGTGTGTTCCTCATCCATGCAGCTGGGGTCTTGGTATCTGATATTCCAAACATCTGAGTTTGATATTTGAATTTCCACAGAATAGGGAGAGAAGGAGTTTGAGTGTGGAAAAAAAGGATCAGCCAGAAAAGCGAAGAAATATGAGTAGATGGGACCTCTTTCTGCTCAGTGCCTTTGGTTTGGTTGGCGCAGTGAAATCACCTGTGGTTGGAGCAGTGAAAATCAAGAATCAGTGTCCCTTGTGAGGCTTTGGGCTGAGGTGTCACAAACCACAGGGTAAACTGGGAAACCCACCTGCTGCCCTCATGAAATGCAGCAATGCTCTGCTCCCTGAGGACAAACACTTTAAGAACACAGAATTGACATCTGTGATACAAACACTGGAAGCGCCATCATGGGCAGCGGAAATGGTATAACTTCACCGGGCTGCTGCACTACAAGTAGAAGCTGGGACAGGTGGAACAGAGGAAATAGCAGGGTGTATTTCCAGAAAGAACAACAACTTACAGACGTGTTCTCGTGGGTGTTGTTTAGAGATTTGTGTGAGGCATCACTGGGAACCCCTAGCAGGATCCGAAGACTACTTTGAGCAGGATCAGCTTTACTAATTGGGCCACAAAAACACCATAATTTGACCATTGAAAAAAAATATAAGCTAAACATTGAACCCTTAGCAATGACATAATTCTGACATATAGAGATGAAGGATACTAAAGCTGATGTCTACAACTCACTTCGAAATGAATCAAAAAATAAGGTGGGTTTGTGGATGAATTGGTGGATAGATAAATTAATGGATAATATATACATACACATATACACATATATGTGATGAGGCAAATGTAAAAATACTAGCTATCACAGAATCTAAGCACTGAGATTAGGGAGTTTATTTTCAAAATTTCTCTATGGTGGAAATCTTTCACCTAAAATTTTGAAAAAGTATAGTCTTCTACAGTCACAGACCAGCAAGGCCACACTGGGTCTCATGGAGTTAATTCCACAGCTCTCACTCTGGTCTCTTCTCAGACTTTTTCTTTTCTTCCCTCTTCTTCCTGGAGAAAATGTTCTGGTTCTTTCTGTGCCTTGTACATGATATGTTCATTAAGCCATCAGGTATGCTATGGATCGGGAAGGTCTGTAAGGCTGGTGCCCCAGAGCAGGTGACTCCCAGGGTTCTCCAAGGCTGGAGGTGGTTAGGGCAGCTTCAGTCTGCTGAGAATCTTCCCTGCAGCCTCTTTCACCTCCTTGTTCCTCAGGCTGTAGATGAGGGGGTTCAGCATGGGGATCACTGCGGTGTAGAACACAGACACCACCCGATCCTTTTCTGAGGACCGGCTAGTGTTGCCCCCGAGGTACATGAAGATGAGGGTGCCGAAGAAGAGTGACACTGCCGTGAGGTGGGAGATGCAGGTGGAGAAGGTCTTGGCCCGGCCCCCCGCAGAGCGGATCCTCATGATGGCCATGATGATGAACAGGTAGGACGCCAGGATCACCACCATGCACGCGGGGATGACGAAAATGGCAAACACGATAATGACCACTTCCTGGGTGGAGCTGTCCCCACAAGTGAGCTTTAAGAGTGGAGGGAGGTCACAGAAAATGAAATCAATCTCATTGTTCCCGCAGAAAGAGAGAGTGAAGGCGGAGACTGTCCTCACCAACGCGCTGAAGAGACCAGCCACGTAAGCCCCAGCCACAAAACCCAGACGAGCCTTCTGGGTCATGATGGTGACATACAGCAAGGGCCGGCACACAGCCACGTAGCGGTCATAGGCCATGAGGGCCAGGAGGTAGCAGTCGATGGAACCAAAGAAGGTGAAGAGGAAGAACTGAGCCGCGCAGCGAGTGTAGGACAGAGCTGCCCCGCGCTGCAGCAGCACGGCCATCATCTGAGGAACGGTGGTGGAGGAGTAGCAGATGTCGGTGAGAGAGAGGTGGCTCAGAAAGAAGTACATCGGGGTGTGCAGCCGGTGGTCCACGCGGATCACAACAATCATCCCCAAGTTCCCCATTAAGGTGAGGAGGTAGACAGATAAAAAGAAGAGAAAGAGAGGGGGCCCCCGCTCAGGGAGCTCCGTGAACGCAATCAGGAGGAATTCTGTCACTAAGGTGAGGTTTGCCTCTGCCATGCAGACCCTGCTACCTGAGAAGACAGGGATGCGAAGCAAGTTAGGAAACCACAAGAAAGAGTTACCTGCGTTTCTAGTTTACACTTATTGAACACGCAAACAAAATACGTCAGAGGTGATTGGCATTAACCCCTGTCTCACGGGAGTTCTGTATCATAGTCATCTGCATAAGGTCAAAAAAAAGATACAGGTAAACATTTCCAGCGTACAACTGTGTTCTCCCATTTCTACTGCTGAGTAGCTGCATGAGTCGGGATCAGATGACCACTTGAGCCACACTTCCCCGTGACTCCAGTAGGAGCTGCTGCCTGGGCTGCCCTGGCTCCCCTCCACCCGGGGGCCACCTCAGGACCCCGCACCCGCTTTCTCCGTGGCCACGGCCCCTCTGCTATTCGAACCCTGCTTGTTGCATGTCTGGATCAAAGCAACAACTCTGGGGCCATCGGCTTTCCCTGCCTTCAGTCTGTCTCTCCCAGGTTTTGCTCCTTTGATTGAAATCATGGTTAAAATGTTGATTCTCTGTGAAAACTCGGCCCTGGGCCCCATCGCGGGGGCGGGATATCACTCGGACGACAGCAACGCCCTCCCCCTGACTCTGGGCCTGCTTCCTCGTGCCCCTTGGCACTTCTCAGTCTCACGCCCGTGGTCACACTTGCCTCCCACAGCTCTTCCAGCCCCCTGCATTCCTTCACTCCGCACACTTGGCAGGGCAGCCTTCTCCCTACGATGCCTATCTCCTCAACCCCCCAGGTCCTTCCCAACCCTTGACTGCCTTCAAGCCTCTACTCCTCTTGTGCTTCTTGCTTGCTCCGTCCACCTTCCCTGGTCAGTGGCCTGGGGGCTCAGAGCATGCGAGCACCTTATACATTTTTATGGAACAAGTTTTCAAATGACACGGGAAGCACTTTGCAAAGGGAAAGGCTCTGTATACACGTTCAAGTGATTACTTTTAGGTTTCGAAAACATGGAGTGCAAAAATACACTAGAACTGATGAACACCCCCAACCTGGGTTTATGCATCTGTCTTCAACATGTGCTTATTTCACAGAAAGCTTCTATCATATCTAGACCTGCCTGGTTTTTACCAAAAAGGGATTTTGTACCATCCTTAACACGAAACATATAGACACTGTTCTGCACAGCATATATTAACTCATTTAATCCGCACAACCACTTTGTGATGGAGGAACTTTTCTTATCCTCATTCAATAGCTGAGGAAACCTGAGTCAGAACGAGTTCAACACACGCAAGATTGCACGGCCAGGGAATGCCAGAGATGTCCTGTGAGACAGAGCTGCACACAGGCCTGTTTAGCTGGTGACAGGGTCTCACGCACTTCGGGACTTGTCCACGCTGAAGTCCCCAGACACCCCACCTGCACTGCAGCCTATCAACCTCTGAAGGCAGCTGGAGGCTTTAGCTCTAACAGATCGAACATCCTTCGGCAAAGTTGCAGTGCAGCAGCATAGAGAAAACATTGATCACCTTGAAAGCATAAGACTTCAGCAGCTGAACCTGTGTTGGACAAATAACAGGACTGGATGTGGTGACCTGTGCGGCACATGAGCCGGGAGAGCAGTCGGTCTCCTCACCTGAACTGCACTTCGGCTTCACCTGGCTGGTCCTCTCCTTCATCTCTGTTCTTCCTTAGCCGCTTCCACTGCTTGGAGAAGCACCCTAAACGTGCCGAGGGGAGAGGACTGGGAGGTCTAGGTTTTCCTGTTGCCTTCCCACACCTGCTCATGAGCGATGATGAGCACATTGCTTAGAGCCTCGGTGCATTACACACACACACACACACACACACACACACACACACACACGGTGAACCAGAGATGGCACAGCCATGTCTCAGCTGCCTGACAGTTCCTGAGCAGTCTGATCTTCAAGATCCTTGTGGCCATTACAGTCCTAGCAAGGACTGTCTTATTCTTTGTTTCCGTGACTTGCTAAGTCTGGTTCAGGTCCATACCTCACTCTGGAGAACAGCCTCCTCCCACCGGCTCCCAGCTTCAGCCCAAATCCCTTTAGGAGAAGACACTAACAGTTGCTACAAAAGCTCTGAGGTCCCCATTCAGCGCCAGAACTGGTCTCCAAGGAGCGGCAACAATTGTTCCTGTGGGCTCCTCAAGAGGCACCAGGTCCCTCGCACTCAGAAAGAGAAGCAGCTTCCTCTGAGACCCAGGTCCCAATGCCCTGGCATACCCACTGGTGAGGTCTAAAGGAACTGAGTCCCAATTCCACATGTTCCCTTGAGGAACTGGAAGTTTCTGGTAATGTCTCCAACCAGAAGAATGTCGTGAACTATGCCAGCTGCCACCCCCACCAATGTGGCTCTATCCTGATAGCAGGGAAGATTTTATCTGCATTATACAGAAGGGTCAAGGAGCACCCTGCCCAGACCTTGGCCGGACACACTGTGTCTTCTGTTTGTCCTTTGTGGAAGTCACAAGACTCATTAACTCAGTCTCTCTTATTAATAATTGCATTCTCTCTCTGTCTCTCTCTCTCTCACTTCTCTCTTTCTCCTCTCTCCCCCTTTCTTCCCCCCCATCTCCCTCCTCTCTCTCTCCCCATAGGGAAACCAAAGGCCAAAGAGCAGAATTTGGTAAGCTCTTCTTGGCACGATCTTTGCCAGCTCTGTATCTTTGACAGTAAAGTACTTTTAGGCTCTACTTCACAGACATTTTGTTAAATTGAATTATAATATGTCTCAATTCAAAGAAAAGAAGTAAGGAAGGTGAGAAAGACCAGGATAATTTTTCTCTTTGACAATTATGAGAATAAAGAGAAAATGGAACCATTGTAGCTCATTAGTTCATGACTTTGCTGAGAATTCTAAAGGAGTAAGGAGCAAGAAATACAAAATAGAGCAAAGAACAAAATACACACAAAATATCTGTCCATAAGACATACTCACCCTAGAAGATGAGGTAATTTTTTCACCCTACATGATGAGAGGTATAAAACTCTTCAGCCAAATCCAAGTCATGTACCATGCACATTCAATGTAGAGCAAGGTCACTTACAGCTGGAGAGGATTAGCTTAGCGAGGCCTTCCCAGGGGAGATGGGCTTTGATGGTCAGGTGGCAGGAGGAGGTGGTGGAAGAACCATGGGCCAAACAGTTGAAGACCACACGCATAACGGAAGAGCCAGAGGACTCGTAGGTCAGTGAGTGATACTTCGGAGATGGTACAGGATGGTACAGGTTGAGGATCCCTTTTCCAAACTGACTGAAACCAGACCTATTTCAAATTTCATATGTTACAATGTCTGCGTATACACAATGAACTATCTAGGGATGGGACCCAAGTCTAAATATGAAATTCATTTATGTTTCATACACACCTCACGCACAGCCTGGAGGTTATTTTATAAGTATTTTTAAAGTTCCTATGTTTTGACTGCAACTTGTTACACAAAGTCCGTGTGAAATTTTCCACTTGTGGCTTCATGCAAGTGCTCAAAATCTTTCAGATTCGGAAGCATTTGGGATTTTAAATGTTCTGATTGGGATGCTTATCCCATACTGGACAAGTCTTGTCCAGCGCGAGGTATACGGGAAGCCAGATTAAGCACGAAAGACAAAGAGGTACCAGGCTCCTTAATAAAAAAGAGATTTTAAGCCAATAACTTTAAATATCAAAATCACTGCAGAAACTGTATGGTGAACCAAACATCAACATTCTAAATAAATACAGCACAGTATTATTACAGATTTTCCTTGTGCCTCAGTCCTGAGTGTGGCTGCACAGGCCACAGGGACCGGAGAGATGCTTGTAATCGGAAGGAAAGCTGAGGGCTCTGGCAGGGACAGGGTTAACAAGTGCCTTTTAATCCTCTAGGGTTCTTCCATTTCTCTCCTCTCTATTCTTATGTTAAAGTCAACTCAGTGTGATCTAATACTTGCAGAGTGTCTTTACCATTTGAAAACCCGTGTTCATCTACCTTCATAACAGCTCTATGAAATTTAGAGAGAGAATGATATTCCTCCTTGTACTAATGAGTAAGGAGAGGCATAGAGCGGGGGCCATGGCCACATGGGTACCTGGTGGGAAGATCATAAATATTGTTTGCTCCATTCACACTGGTTGCCAAAAGACTCCGCCTGGCCAGTCTCTCCTGCTCTGAGGGACTTTTGTTTTTAACAATGAATACATTCATGCACAGACATGTCAGAGCTCATCAGATGCGGAGATAAGTCTTCTGTATTAACAAATAAACTTAGCACCATGCAGCTTTGTGAAATAAGTTTATTTGTACTCATAAAAAGTGCAGTTTACATGTCATAGCTATGGCATTTGGAGCAAGTGGCCTTCAAGATTGCTAGAGCAGACAAGGAGTGAAGGAAGATGGTGTAGGACACTGCTAATGATGAGCATGGGGTGGTCTGCCTCCCCTCCACCTGCATCCCCATCCCCAGAAGCCAGAACCCTGGCTCAACATGACAGGGGAGGTGCTAGAAGGCATCCGACGCACAGGGTCATTGTGTAAACTAATGTCTAGGAAAACACGGCTGTCCTTCCTAGCCTTTGTGTAGTGTGGAGCCTGAAACCTCCTCAAAATTCTGGAGGATGCTCAAAGGCTCCCGGCTACCTTTAAAGGGTTCTTTTACTTCCTGCTTCTGCTAACACGTTATTATCATTGTGCTCATTTCCTGCAACCCTCATCCTTCCATCATGCCAGGTATAAGGTCTGACCTAGATGCAAAATTAACACGACGTTTGTATACACAAAACAGGTTTTTTTTTTTTATTTTCAAGCAAAAAGAAAAACAATAAAAAGCTACAGAATTTCAAAACAAGATGACAGGAAATTAACAAGGATTGTTATATTGCATATTGTTATCTTCAGAGTAGTTGCTTAGGTTACCAGATGTAGATATGCAACACTGATCAAACAATATAAGCACTAACTGTCCGTTTCAATGAATTAATAGAAATTAGTAGTACAATTATCTTAGCTATCTTGTGTATATATATTCCCCTCCTTCTTTT